AATTATTTTACTATCAAATGAATGCCAGACACGACGTGTCGGACATCGCGGGACTCAACGCCTACTCGTTTGGCATTGAAGACGTGGACAGACATACGATTGTCTATAAGAAAGAGTTCACTCCATCGGAGGATGAGTTGAATGCTCTGCGCAAAGGAGAGGAATACGACCCCAAGAAGTTGGAACTCATCAAACAAATGGTAATATTTGGTGTGAAAAGTGTTGTATTTTTCAAATAAAGTGAGAAATTCTTGGGAAGGAATTGGAGGAACAGAATCGTGCGGCAGTCAAAGATAAAGATATCGTTCCCAACAAAGACTTTAGAGATAAGTACGAGAAACTGATTGGTTTGGACGCGGGAAAGAGTGCCGCTCAGGTCACCACTCCTAACAAACAGTTTGGATTCGGTACACAATTGCAGATATTTGTCATATTTTCAATCAATGTAATGATTATTATTTGTATGACTAGTGCCGAGCGCTAACAAAAGGGATCAGAGATCTATTGAACAGATTTTGGCCGACAATAAGAAAAAGAAGTTGAAAACAACTGAAGACAATAGCAATTAGTATTTGATTTGTTTAGTCGATTAGTTATTATACACATTAACTAATTAATTATATTAAACCATTTCATTAATTATTACAAACACCGACACCTTTACAATACTTTGTTTATATACCATACTTTAATGTGTGTGACTTTTATGTTAATTAGCGAAAAATTATTTAATTCAATCTTAATTCATTTCAATCTTTACTTAAAATGATTTTTTTGTATAGCAATTATAATTTATATTGTATTTTGAGATTATAATAAATAAATCCAAATATTGTTTAGATATTTTCGTGAACTTATAGTGAACATTGTTTATTTCATTTAATCGACTGATAAATTATAAGATTAAATAATATTTTTCTTGTCTAGAAATTTTTAAAAATTAATTGAAAAAATGAATTGTTATCACATTTAGATCACAATACTGTCTGAATAATGTCTGTCCACAAACAGAACTGGAAGAGCATTCAATTATACGGTATTTATGATTATTGAGTTTATATAATAAACTACCGGCACAGGTATTAATAACTGTGGTGACCAATATATCTATAAAACTAATATTTGCTGTGAATTATGGGTCAGTCAGTGCAATGGTGTCGAGACTTGTACTGAACGATAGCCCCTCCTCTATCACCGAAACTAGTGACGAATATATTGAGGACCGCTATTAATGACACCAAACCAATGATGACATGATTCAAGATTTGAGTCCAATTGGCCTCTCGTTTGGTCTGTTCGGACACTTTGCTAAATCCGACCACAAATAACAGAATCCCGACCACAATCTAAACGATCAAATATATTGTCTTTCAATGTATTGTATAATAAATGAAAATACTTTCAATACTTGAAGTATTAGTGATGCAAAGAGTAGTCCCAATAGGAGGTCGTAGTATTGGACGTCAGCCCTCCCGGTGTCGAAAATGAACTTCAAGTGCTCGACGTCGGCTACAAATAAGGCCACGTCTAGGAATCCGCCGGCGATTGTCATTCTTTGGCTCACAATAGCGTTGGAGTCATAGACCTGTTCCGTCCCTTTGTCTATCTCCTCGCCACTAATACTCGGATTTTCAGACATACGGTCCACTCTTATTGCCGGTGATAAGGAGTCGACACTCATATTTTAAAGCTTAAATTTATTGTCAATTTTAATATAATCTGTTTGTATTGCATTGAAATAATGTATTAAATATTTTTTATCGAATTTATATCCACTGCCAGTATTTAGTATATCTTATCAGTTGTATTGAAACGTTAAAGAATAGCAAATAAATTATTGATACTGTAGTAGGTATTCATAAATTCAATGAGACAATAGTTTAAATCCTGCATATGAATCATACACATAACTATTAATAATTGTGTAAATAAATAATATCTACTGTATTACTTTATATAGATTCTATACTATAATATAGATATTATTGCCATATTCAGATATTATTGCCAGTGACAATTTGTCACTTATGACTTGTTATCACACAAAAAACAATCAATTGATAGGGAATTTGCTGTTTATTTATATTGATTTATGACAATTATAATCAAATGACATGATTTGAAAACAAATTAAATGATCTAATTTTTATACAAATAGAAATTCTCTAGATACAATTTCCTTAGTCATTATTTATTTATTTATTATACTGTAATTAATTTGGTAATCAAAGAGTACTATAATTTATAAATATTTAATAGTAACATTATACAATAAATTTTATTAAAATAAATTTTCTTGAGATATTTCAAAGTTCAATTAATTAGTAATTATCATTAAAACTTAGAAAAAATTAATATTGAAAGGGACATGGTCTAACTGTAAGTCCAAATGTTCTAAAAATCTTTAAGTTTTGTTTATAAAATTTATTGTACAAGCATCTCTTAACATTTGTGACATTTTATAACCATATTATTAAAAATGGTAATGAAATGAACAAATTGTTATCAAACAATGTTATGTAGCAAAAGACATGTTTGGTTCGGTTCGAGACAACAATAGATAATTTGAAACATTGGAAACGTTAGAGCAGTCGGTGTTTCGTTGAGACGGGTTTTAAAGCAGAAGCAAAATCATTGAATCCTCGGACAAGAGATGAAGACATGTGTGGATACCATCGAGTCTTTCAAAAGCAAAACCAAGAAAATCGCAGAAACTCTGGTTTTGGAGAAATTTCCGCAAAAGATTGTCGA